TTGGTGGCACCTGGCATCCAGCCAAGGTCAAACCACCACAACAGGCAAAAATGTGGATTCAGAAAAAGGAAAAAAAAAAAATGAGCAATGAGGTATAGATCAGGTGAAAAACAAAGAAGGGTGAGAAGCTTCTGCTGGAAGGAGTGCAGATGATGAAGCTGAGCTGTGGACTCAACACCACTGGGGATGCTGGAGGGAACCCCCCTTGGAGAACAAGCTGGTGTCTCCACCAGGTAGGTCCACAAGACTTGGTGAGGGAGGGTACAGTAAAAATGCATAAAGTTACAAGGAAGGATAGACTTTGTACCTTAATACTAAGTGCAAGAAGAAAGACCATAGAATTGAAGCTTAATAAGTTCTTGATTTGTAAGATTTCTTTGTAGTAATATAATTATGTATCAGTACTAATATTAGTAATAAGCAAAAGAATTGTCACTCCATATTAGTTGCAGTGACATAATTGTGAATTATGCTACTAAAAAGTGGTGTGTTTATAAGGTAGTTAAGGTGTTACGAGCTTTTTAGAGGTGTGTTTTGCTTAATTAATAAACAACATTACCATCTCAGTCCGCTACCTCTCAAGCCTCCAATCGAAAGGAGAAGAGTTGGACTTGGGGCGTAGCTGCTTTCCACCCTTGGGAAGAACAGGAAACAAAGAGAGGCAATTTAGACACACAGTGGACCTTCCTGCAAGGAAAAAGGTTTCTTAATAGGTCTAGTGAGGTGTGAATCCTTCACGGGGGGCTTCTAAGGGCCTGTGGCCAGGCATACCCCATGGAATATCAGAGAGAGCAGGGATGATAGGAGCTGCTCAGTGCAGTTAAAGGTATGTGATGGGGTGAGGCAATGTCTCAATTTCTGAAATAGGGAATGGTGCCGTGGTAGGGCCATACGTGCCCCTCTGCCTTTTCCTCCAATGTAAAAATAAAACTCTGTGTCCAGGTTTGGAGTGGAAAGTGCATGGCATGGTGGCTAAGCCAGCTCTCCAGACTGTGGCTTTGGTATTTGACCAGCCATTTCCCCCTTCACTTGAATGGGAAACTCCTTTTCTATTCCCTCCCAGCACAAGGTCTCCCACATTGGTCAGATTTCCCTTGGATGAATCTGGGTGAAGACAAAGACTGACCATATCACGTAACGTTGCCCAGACAGCTAGCTGATGACATCTCCATACTTGGAGTCATTGAACCCTCAGCTGGCCATGGCCGATGCCAGCCATACCCGGCTGTTGGAGGCCATCAGGGCAACCTGGGAGGGGGCTGAGTTCTTCAGCTTCATCCATCCATGGCTTCATGCAGAGGTGCCACTGAGCCCCGAAATGCCACAGGTGTTGCAGGGTGCAGGACAAGGTGTTCCAGGGCAGGGTGACAGCTTGGGAAATGGCTGAGCCTTGGCCACCACCTATTTCAAGACTTTTCTTTGCAGCCAGGTGTGGGTTGAGGAGCAGGAGGAAGAAGAAGAAAGGGTGGAAATTTATACCATCTGTCAGAACTCACCCATGAGGAAACTAAATTCTTCCAATCTCACCCTAGGCAGACAAGTTTGGTTTTACTAATACATCAAAACTTCCACTTTTCACTTTGTGACACATTCCCAGCAAAACATAAAGCCATAAATCACAGAGCAGTGGGATGATTGATTTAACTTAATAAAGGGAGATGGTAGGAGAAGAAAGTAAATCATACAGATGGGCTTGATTTGTGGCTACAAAAGCAACGTGCCAGCCTGTGTACACAGACAAAACATACAACTTGCAGTTCTCTTTGCACCACTGCGAATCAGCCCTGTTTATTTACCACACTCTGTAATCACTGTTGCTCAAACATCCTGCTGGTACACCCCAATTACTGCCAGTTCTTTTGCTCTGAAGAAACCTTTTTGTTCTGTGCAGGAGTGAAAAATCTTAACAACATTCCTAGAGTTCACCAGCATAGGTCTCTGCTCCGTGTGTTACAGCTTGCACGGTGGACCACAGCACCCATCCTAAAACTGATGTTGCTGGAATCAGGAAGGAGACATTGCGGTCCTGGAGACCTGGTACCAGCAGCACCTGTTTGTTCACTTGAGCTGAGCAGGGGATCACCGGAGTTCCCTGACCTGCGGCTGCTGCACTGTCTCCAGCAGCGGTTGGAGATGTAAAGCTCTGTCTGCAATCCCAGCTGTCACCTCCTTATCCCTCTGGAGCCAATGGCCTGTGCCCAAGGCCCCAAAGCCCAACTCTGATACAACCCTTATGGCAGGGGGGCCGGGGCCCCGCCTGCCACAGGAGTTGCATGGTCGTCAGGAAGAGCCATGAGACATCTGTAGAGCAGAGCCAGGCAAGGACACAAGGCAACACCACAGGCAGAGAGGTAGGGTGGCTGAGATGGCATCGCTACCAGCTTGAGGATTCATCAGAAAAAAAACATCATGGGAAGGTGTAAAACCCTCAGGAAGCAAACAGGGAGGTGAAATAGGGCGACTCAGCACCGTTGAGGATGTGACCAATCCTTCTCCCTCTGAGGTGGTGCCTGTGCAGCAAAGAGCTGGGGTGCATATGGGGGTGGTGAGCTCCCTGGGCTCAGTGGGTAGCTTGTTAGCCACAGCTATCCTGTGTGTGTCATCCAAAACAATAGCAGGAAACTCCACAGGACTCCCATGCTGTGACAGAGCATCAAACCTTATCTACAGTCACACCTAAAATTCACAAGATGATGTGGTTGATTCCAGCAAGAAATCCGAGCAGACCCAGTAATTCAGTGGGTAACAAGCCACTTTGCAACGTATCAAGTACAAATTACCTGCAAAGAATGCTAATTCTTCATTTATATGCATTCAGAAGAATGCAACTTGTCATCTCTCAACTGCATTTGGCTACAGCGATGTGAGATTTTCTCTGCCAGAAGCTGCTTGCAGTAACTATCTCTCCTGACATCTTGCTGACCTCCGGAGATGAGTGCAGACCTGCACCTGCCCTGTCACCGAGCGCACCTTGGTGCCAGGCAGGCAGGGGTAGCAAAGCTCGGGAATTTCCCAGGAGGCAGTAGACTTCTTCCCGGAATTTGCCATAACTATGCTAATATATTAAGTCCTTAAAGGCTTGCAAACCCCAGTTCCCTCAGCTGCTCCTCATCAGACTTGTGCTCCAGACCCCTCACCAGCTTCGTTGCTCTCCTCTGGACATGCTCCAGCAACACAATGTCTTTCCTGTAGTGAGGGGCCAAAAACTGAACACAGTATTCGAGGGGTGGCCTCACCAGTGTGCGGGACGGGGGCACAGTCACTGCCCTGCTCCTGCTGGCCACACCAGTCCTGATACAAGCCAGGATGCCATTG